TCCCAGAAAAGGACACTATTTGCTGACCGGGGAACTTCATGCAGGCTCGATTCAGCACATAATACGAATCGATGGACGAGTAAACAAAAGCGTGCAACTTTTGCATCGTCGGAAGTGCTTCAAAAACAGATAAATTGCTTCCTTCGCCGCCCATGAGCTCTCACCACACTCTGGGAGTGCATAAGATTTTTCCTGTGTCAAAGTTTTCCGCAGCAGGACATCTCACTGCGCGACCATGAAAGTTTTCTGATGAAAAATTCAGCTTCAAGTGTGGATTTTTCACAAAAACTTCCTGACCATGACACACAACAAACTCTTCTGGGTGTCTTCTATGGTGTCCAAAGGTGGTGAGAAAGCAGCAATAAAAGACGCTTTAGTGCATGAATAGGACAATTTTTTACCACCTCAAAGCCATACAAATAATTCATTAACTTTCATGGGCTTGGAAAATTGTTTTCTCTTCTCTTTCACCCCGAATTTGCGGCTTTGAACATTTCACAGATAAAAACACACACACACACACAATTGCAATGTATTTTGTTCCCAATGGATTTTTGTTTGAAATAAAGAGTCTCATAAGTCATTAATAAATCAAATGCGTGATCAAAGAACAATATTAATGAATTAACAAGAATTTCAATGTAATGAATTTTAATATTCATCTGCGGTGTAATTTTTGCTCTTCAAATTACATGCAATTAAAAATATATTAAATCAATCGGATATCATTTTTGCAAAGGCTTTTTTTACACACAATAATTAATGAAATCCCATTCACTCTGACAGACATCCAGTTTTCAAATGGTATGACAGATTATTTTTAGATCATTTGCAGTGCTAAAATGCACCTAAAATGGATTTGACGCAATTTGGTGTGCTGCCAAAGGTGATACAAATGCCAATGAATATTTCATTTTCAATTTACTCATAGTTTTTGCTCGAAAATTTTGGCATTGGTGGCAGTTTGAAATATATTTGCCACAGTATAGATGACGTGAAATTGGTCAAAAGTGAGGCTTTCGGCGGTGCATTTTGTTAGGCATTAGAATTCCCTTTGGAATATTTGCATAATTTTTTTTACAAATGCTCAATTCTTAGTCGAATTGTTTCAACCAATTACCATACTTTTGGGCAACACCGCAAGACCATCTCTGTCAAGACTGTCTGATGCAAAACATGTAAATTTGTCAGGAAAGAATTTCGGGTGAGTCGCCGGAAGGCGCCTAGCAATAATCACTGGAGTAAATTTAATAATTTCCCCCGGAATGGCAAATTTTGGGTGAAAGTTTCACTTTTCGTCCATCTCCACAGTGAAAATGTCCCGATAAATATTCAGAGCTTCTGCGCCACTCTGGTGGCAATTTTTGACTGTGCGCCGCCAGTGAAATGAGGGAGAGAAATTGAGATGGAACGCCTGGGAAATTCGCCATGCATATTCAAATGTTTTCCCTACCCTGTGTGCGATGTGTTGGACCCCCATGAGCCCCAAAATGAGACAGATGTGGGTTTTCAGAAATTAGACTTAATCACACTCGAACGAACCGCGAGAATATAAATGTGGCTCAGAGTTTCCACTTTGATTGAGCCTCCAACAAGGGAGAGCAATGAATATTTAATGTCTTACATGTGCTCTTGATGGAGCGAGCGCCACCCACGAAAGCTCCTTGGCGAAAGGGTGACAGTGAAAAGCTCAGAGTCTCCTCGAAATGTGCTCAATTATTTCGCGAAATTTATCCACGCGGTATTTGAATATGTCTGTAAATAATTTTTTTTGCACGTATTCTTGAGTAATCAGAAGTGTGGAAAATATCATATCTAGAGTCCTCAACACAAAGTGTTGAGGAATATTGGCAGGAAATTGAGACGGAAATTGTGAGAATTCTCATCAACGCGAATTTCCATGTGAGAAATTGAGGACATAAGCTGGAATAGCTGACATCCGGATGTCCATACAGACTTATAAAATGATAAATTGCTCTCTTTTCATACACAAAAATTCTAAATTTGATGTGTGAAAACTAAAAATGAAAACTGACACACTATATATTCTTGGAGTTCTCCCTACTTTTCGCTGCCCAAAACTCACTTAGGAGTCATTCAAGAGGTTTAGTCTTTGGCTGATTCTCCTGATGCTTGCGACAAAAATTGAGGAGCAGAATTTTAAATTTCAATTTCATGCATTTTATGTCAGCAGTTTAGCTGTGAAAAGGAAAAAAAGGACGATGCCATGTCTATCTTCTCGGAAATTCCATAAATACTAAATAGTGGGCAGAAGAAGGAGAACACGATAAGAATCTGTGGGTGTCTCTTCGGGCGGCAAAATGCCACTTTTCCACCCTCCGCCCAGCAAGGTGATGAGTGCGTGAGGATTCTCAAGTGCGCAGCATATAGTCAAAGAAGGTCAGCATGTAAGCTTGGCCGTTGCCAATGAAAAATGAATGACATGCGGAGGTGAAATTCACTCAAAGAAAAATCTGCAGAGAGCATTTCTTGGTGAACACATCCACGATGATGGACACCCCAGTGGAAACAAGATAAACATTTTGCCGAAGAAGAGGGAAGAAAAAAGATCATTTATATTTTACTTAGCGCTGTCATCTCAGTCATTGTCCATTTTCTCTCATGTCTCAACATGTAGCATCTCTCTAAATTACATTTACCATTTATCCCACATCACGTGGACACTCTTGTGCGGAGACGTGGGGAGGAATCTCACCCCAACCACCCTCTGGGCAGCTGTATAATGATGATGACATCCATGCTCGCAATAAATCTCTAATGATTTCCCCACGAGCTTTATCTTCACACTATCTCAAATTTAATTATAATGTGCGACTTTATGCAGTATAAAAGGAGTGGAGAGAACGTGTTTTTGTCACACCCCGGGTGAAATATGGACCAAATTGGCATCAAGCAGAATCTGATTTTCACACTGGGAAACGCATCACACCAAAGCCAACCCTCTTTATTCAAGGCGACACAAACCCTTTCACAAAATACCCACGTCAAAAGCTCTCACTGTGCAGCGGACAAAAAAAAACAGTGACAAAATGCATCGAAGCTTTTTGTCACAACAACACATCATCCCAGTGAAAAAATACATATTTTACGCTCTCGCGAAAATTCCTCATTTCACCCTCGCGACAACTTTTTCCGCCATACTATCAATCTTCGGCGGTTGAGGATGGTGTGGGCCATTTTTTATTGTCACCCATAATTAAATCATGTGTCTCCAAACTGAGTTTGGAATTTATGATGCAAAATGATAATGAAAATATTTTATTTGCTGCACACATCATGCAAAAAAAGCCACCGCAACTGCAAATATTTCACGCAGAATATTCAACGATGAAATCCAATGGAATGTCCACAACAGGGAATGCTTTAATGGCAATCAAACTTTAAAAATAAAATGCAGTGCGTAATCGCTTAAAGGGAAGATGGATTTTTGCGACCACTTCAGAATGAGACAGATTTGAAGATGACGTTCTTTTACGCTTCAATTTCACAGTCTTCGAAACACTTGAATATTGGGAAAAACGCGAACAAAAGGTACAAAATAGAACGCTTTCTTTGTTCTGAAAACCTCATTAGAGCCCCAATTTAATAAGTATGGGGTTCAGACACTCCAAAATGTGCGATATGATGAAAAATTACCAATTGATGCAATAAATGGACGTGAAAAGCACATTTATCGCACCAATTTTCCATAATTTATCCACTCATGCATGACATGCGATTAAAATCGTCCTCTTCATACATGCTCTCACCAATATTAATATCATAGCAAACATTTTTAATACATAAAAAGGCCCCATTTAAGATTCATACCATTCATACATAAAATACACGTCCAGCATATTTGCGATTATGCCAATCAATCACGTGAAAAGAGATAAATGAACACAAACGCAGTTTCTTTTCCGTCTTCATGTCAGAGCATGATAGCAACCTACGTATATTTTTCTTTCAACCCTTAACTGTGTTGGGTAAAAGGAAACTCACGTCTTTGATGTTTTCTTCTCTGCGCTGGCGCTTTTGATTGCAGATTTTTGCAAACAAGTCCAGATGATTTGACCAAAAAGCTTTCAGTCAAGCCATGGGTGAATTTGAAATACATGAAACGCATCATCATAATATGCAGAGCATTATTAGATTAATCCCTCCTGCAGATTTTCACGTAAATACCATGTGCGGTTGCTTTATGCAGTCCCAGTTGGAGCAATTTTAATTTAACTTTTAAATTAAATTCACTCATAGATCACACAAAGTACGGCGTATTTCAATAATTTCCCAAAAATTCCCATTACTCGTTCAAATATCCCACAGTTGGCTCACTGGAAATGAATTACATGAACATATTTTTGAAAATTTAATAAATTAAGGACTTTTTATAGCACAGTGGTGAGCTTTCAGTAAAATTGCCATTCAGAAATGTCCTTCGATCATGAGCAAAATTATGTATGTGGGTGGGATTTTTATGTGGCCATCAGTGGTTTTCACGTACTTCAACCATCACATAAGGCAATACAGATAAATAAAAGCTGTGCGATGTCGAGGCAGAAGACGAAATGTTAAATTGACATTTAAGATAAAGTGAAAAAACGTGTCTTCTGCGCCAAACATCTCTCCTCTCACTCTATCCATGGCAAAGTTGTGTCTGCATACGGCAAATGTTTCAATTTATATGAATTTATATTGCTTCTCAGACACCAAAAAAAAAAACAGTCAGTCGCCCCTTACTTGTGAATAGGATGAATATCCAGAAACGAGGCAGAAAAAAAGCTCACATCTTTTATGGCGCGCCATCAAAAGCGGAGTGATGCGCATTTCAAGTGTGGAACACTTCATTTCGCATCTCATACGAACGTGTCTCTTTTATCCACCCAACAATGCAGCGATTATGATTTCTGTCTGGTAAATGGTTTCCTCCCTTGTAACCACAACTGCACACGTGCTTCTTTTGGGGGTGTAAAAGTGATAAAAAGCCTAAAACTTACCACAAAATTAGGGAAATTCCGTTCTTGAGCCTTCAGCAGTCGCCAGTGATTCTGAAACAATTACAAGAATGTTAGACGAAACATTTCTGACGATATCTGGAGGCGGTGTTTCTAAGGGGGCGGGGCTTCTTTCTACAGAAGATGTTCTGTTTGCAAGAAGCTCTTTGTATTGTCTCAATGGGTTAACACTCACTCCTCCGCCGAAAGAAATATCAATATCCAAGCCATTTCCCTAACAAATTGTCTACTATTTAAGCCATCAACTGACACAGTTTTGGCATGAAGTGGAGAAAATCCACCTCTGACGAATCCATCCATCAGCATTTTCATGTTTTGCCAAGAAGAGAGATTATCGTGGGTAAGTATTCTGAGTAAAATACGGCAACACAGAATCTCCCTTATCACAACTTTATCCGCTCCTTTTATTGTTACAAGGAAGAATGCTCTCCGCACACCACCAACGCGCGCCCACCCAATGGGAAAATTACCATAACAAAAAAGGCATGAGGTGGATGGAGAAAAACCGTGCTGTATTATTGCATTTTACCTTCTGTTTGATGGCTCTTTGAATATCTTATCCCACCCTTTTTTGGTATTCACGCAAAAACCACTAAAAAGAGGTCTTTTCTCCTGTAGTTTGGATAAAAGGAAAAGTGAGGCGGGGGCGGTGGCTTAAAAGGCAGCACAGGCTAAATGGAAAGAAAATTATTGAGGGAAGGCAGAGAAGTAAAGAATGCAGAGAGGGACAAAAAAGGCGCATTTTTTCCCTACATCTAGAAATAGGAAAAAAAAATGAAAATACACAGAAATACCATGTGTTTTCTCGGCTCTTTCATGGCAATGAAAAAATTCTTCTGAAGCCAAAATCCCATCGAAGAATAAAAGAATGAATCTCACAATCAAAATACTGTTTGATTTTGACGGAAAGGCAAAAGAATGTCACGAGAGTTCAACGAAATGTTAACATTTGCATTTTATCACTTGAGATTTTTATGCTTATATTTGTCCACCAAAACAGTCTAGTCGCGGACTGTTGAGAGTGCGAAAAAAAAGGTGAAAGAATGTGGATGGAAAAAGTACCAATCTTCACGGAAGCCTAAAGTCAATGGGTTGAATGAACCACGATCGCCACGATTGTTGATTCCGCTGATCTTGTTCCGTTCACACTGCCACTCTGTCCACTGGCCGCGGTATTCGTATATTATTTCTGTTGTCCAATTGAAAATTAAATTACCACTCTTCGTCGCGCATCGACTTCCAACTGCACCTCAACATTCCACCTGATCTTGCACGCGCACTGAGAGGAAAATCACACGGCAAAACACCCAGTCAAAAGGTCACTTCGGAATTCTCCGAAAAGCTTTAAAAATGCAAATGAGAAGCACTCAAACTTCCACACTTTCCCGTTTCACGCGCCATGATAAAACTCTTTGATAACATCAACAATGAAAGTAATTAATAATGCAATAAATAGCAGAGAGTACAATGAATTATTGGGTATTAATTGATTAACACTTCAACTACCACAATTTTGACTATCTGTCTAATTCACAATTTCCCTTGTGATTCTTAGTGTTCAAAAAAAACAAACGATTCCGCGAATACAGAGAATTTCTACAAATTATCCTGCAAATAAATAAAATCACATCGTCAATTTGACTTTCTTGGCAGTTGGAGTGTTAAGGTGGGGTGAAAAACTTTGCTGGATACTCGGAAATGGAAATTAAATTTTCCCTCTCTCCACTTTTTCCTCCATTCTCCGTAGAAAATCTCTTTAGGCTCGCATATTTCAATCTTCTTTCACTTTTCTCAAGCATTGCGTGCACTTTTTCTGCGAGTGCAGCAACCATATGATCGTGTGTGAGTCAAGATCAAGAAGTGACCTCATCTTCAAGATCATAACACAGTCACTTTGTCTATTTTTATCCATCTGCAATCCATTGTTCCCCTCAATTTGCCATCTCTTGTGTCGCGAAAAGCTGCCAATTTGCCGTCTGATCGTTGAGAAATCACACACACGGATTTCCATTCGAAAAGCCCACCAACTTGGGCAATATTTGTGCAATTTCGAGAGTGTGTTTTCGATTAGGTAATACACGTACAAGAAAAAAATGTAAATACAGTATAATACCTTCATGGTTTCGCCTATCCAATACGCAATTCGCTCTGGACTAATTTCACTTTCGAGCGCGCGCTCGTCGAGGTCTCGATCATATGTTGTGGATGGGTTTAAAAAGTGAGAAAATGCACTCCATTTTCTCCGAACAACACGATCAATTTTCCGCGCGCCAAATCACAGGTATTTGCTATTGGCGCGAGTGTGCATGGCAAAAAGTCATGTGGGAAGTTGCCGCACACGATGGTCGGAAAGGGGAATTTTCCCGGCGGAAAAGAAAGTCCCCACCAAATGGACTGGACATTGGAAAACAACTTCTCCGCACAGAAAATATTTTATATTATTATTATTATTATCTGCACCCAAAGAGATGAAAAGAGTTTAGTCACCCAGCGAGACCATTTCATTTGAAAAAAGTACTCCAGCAATACTTGCTAGACTGGTTCTTCTCTTCCATGTCTCTCAATAACCGTCAGGCCTTAGCATTGACATTCAAATATCTGACACTCTCTTCTCAAGTGTTCGTAAACACACACCGAAAAGCACCACACCGAAAAGTAGACAAAGACGCCCAGCAGCCCATCATCGCTGATGCGTGAAGAGGCGCCCAAATTGCTCAATCACAAAAGGTGCATCCATGGAAATGGAAAACACCATCGCAGATTGCTGTGCGTCGTTCTCAATTAATGCTCAGACACAGTTGGTCAAGTTTGACCACTTGTTGCTCGCTGATAATTTCTGCAGAACAGCGCATAATTGAGAAGATTCTATGGGAAGAATGAGGTTAATTGGAAAAAAAGGTAGTTGAAATAGAATTCTAATAATAAATAGTCACATCAGTGAAGAAAAAAACAGAGGCAAAGAGAAACAATGAAATTCCTATAAATTCAATTTGTATTAATCCATAAATGAAATCGAGAAAATCTCCTCTTATTTCCAATTCAGCACTTCATTGAATTTCATGGGATGTCGTGCAGTAGAGAACCTTTCATCATTCGCTAAAATAAGTATAAAAAATGTAGTGTAATGTCGAATGATTTTGCGGTGGCACTAAAGAATTCTTGCAAGACAATTTAAAATCCCGTGTTATGCAAAAAAAAATAATGCGTTTTCCTGTAAAAATATCTGCCATGAAATCTCGGAATCTTCAGTCAAAAAATCCCAAGTATAATTAATTTGTAATCGTGTGTTTGTTGCAATACCACAAACTTATCTAAATTACACTTCATCAGTTATTCCAGTCAAATCAACCAGTGAAAAAGATCCACTGATTTATTCACGTGGCCGAGCAACGTTCACGTGACGCAAGAAGTGCATCTGAAACACGTCTGATAGGCATCTTGATTTTCTCACAACTCATTTGTACTTGAACTAATTCCAAATATTGCGGGTTGTTTTTCTGCTACACCAAACAAGTGTATTTTTTTCATCTCTATAACATCATTGCGCGCCTTTTTCTGCGACACCCAATTGACTCTTAATTGCAAAGTAAATAGCTGACAAATGAGGAGATCTGGATCATTGCCACAGAGAGAGAGACTTGTGGACTTTTCCTCTGCACACTGTGTGTATCTGTGCGACTTGGTGGACGGAGAGAAGCTCAAGGGGGAGAGTTTTGTGTATATCCCAGAAATTGGGAAAAGTTTATGCAGCACAAACTTTACTAATCTCAGCATAAAACTCTTGTGAGAACTTCCACACAGTGTGGCAAAAATCTTCTCATATCATGGAGTATTTCTGCGTATAAAACGAGGCCTTCTTGTGAAGTTAAACTATGATGGATTAATTAAATATATACATAAAGTCTCACACTGACATTTCCTTTAATTATGCCAACCAACAGCCCCACAACACAATAAGCTGCAGAAGAACTCTCCACATAAATTGATGCTTGGGAAACCACGAAATAAAATGTATGCGGGACATTTTGCAATCAAACTAAACATGGAAAATGGAGTGAAACTCCAAGAAAAATTCACGCACACGTAAAATGTATTTGTGATAAAAAGCAGCACATCAAGTAAATTGCCAGTTGAGGAATTGAGAGCTTTTCCTTATAATGGCAGAGGGTGAAATTCCGTGTGGTTGAAGTCCGTGGGGACAATTTTTCCAATTGCTCTAAACGAACGATAAATATAGAGCTCTCAGGTGAATTAAATCGATTGAGTTGAGAAATGTCGCGAGCGACATTCTGGCCTTGTCTCCACCTGATGGACTCGTCGGAGTATGTATGGATTAAATCACAAGCATCCCTCAAACCCCCTCCTCAATCGATGATGACAATGAATTCATCCCCAGCAATGTTTCATCGTCGAGGCGGAAAAAGAATTGCACGATGGTGAAGATAAAATGGCCCTGTGGGAAAATAGAAGCCACATAACTTTATCATGAGAGCATCTCTTTCTCTCTCCCCCACCCACACCAATTGAGCACAATTCCAATAATCCAATCAAGTCCCATATTTTCTCAGAATGAGAGGAAGAAAAAAAAATCATGATACGGTGCCTTGGAAAATATATATTTGCCCTGAGAATGCTCTATAGGGAATTTCTCCTATTGGGAAGACACACAAAAAAGGATGAAAGTTGAGGCATTGACGTGGCTCTTCAAATGGACACTGAGGCGAAAGGTGCTTTTGACGAGGAAAAGAGATGTTTCTCACGCGCTTCATGGTCATTTCCTTCACCACTGGGCGTGGCAAACGAATGGGCGGAGCATCGCACTGTCTGTGGCATTTCAACTCTTTCAATTTGCATCGCTGTACCATCCACAAAGGGTGCATACAAGAGTGAGTAATACGTCTGCAGCAGGTTTTCCTCTCAGTGTTCTCCCCCTTCCGGCCACCCTCACGTCCAGTCAATGTGTCAGAAAGTCCAAAGAGACCCATCGTGAAGAGGGCGAAAGCTTTGTAAACAAAAAAAGCACCATTGGCGCG